ATCATAGGAAACATATCCTTCTTCAAGTTGGACAACAACTTCGACCTCATCAGCATCCGAATGTAAATCAAACCCGGGGGGTGCAGCGCATAATTTTCACATGCTACCACATGCTCCACACTGCCGCCCTATGCGAGCTAGGATGACTACAGCTCTTATTCAATATCCACGGACTGTATCGAAATAAGAGTAGCGTAGTCGCTTGGAATGAAAAAATACAACTTTGCCTTATCTGCACTCGCTCTATATTTGTGATATGGAAGAGGTACTACCCTTGTTCGAGTCCCGTTGAGGGTGCTGATGGGACTTGTGCTAGGTCGAGACTACAGTCCGACCTGGCCTGCTTCTACCTTCGCGACAAAACCAAAAAATCAGCTGTTCGTCACTTTAAGCAACTTAGAACCGGTTTGACTTCTTCGTGTTCCTCCTCACAATCTTGCAGAGAGGTGCAAGGTATGAGGGTGTAGCCGGACCCCGTTTTTTCTGGGCTTTTTTTCTGCTCTGTTTACACACGGAATGAGACCGCTTACCTTTCCCTTTTGACATAATCAGAAGTGAAAGTTTGTGAATGAATACAAATGTGAAGCCCCGAATAAATGGGAATGTCGAAGCAGTGCTTGGGCCAGGTGGGTACTGCCTGAATCGGACATCGTTTCTCCGTTTTCCCAACCACTGGGGTGGCTAGGGACTGAGTAAAAAGGATATTCAGAGTGCAGCATGTCGTGTGTATTGTCCAACTATGGCCTGAATGTGTAGCACAAAATGGTTCGGTCTCGCATTCTGTTCAACTCATTTGACCAATCGCATAAAAATTGCTTTTTTTTTAACTCATATCTCTTGCATTTGCCCTCTAGAAAATGTGATCCCGTCTGCCGAGAAGAAGTTAATCAAACAACTTATGCTTGACTACGAGGAGGCGGGGAAGATCGGTAGGCCGGTGAAGAACACGCTGGAGACGGTTGTGGTCGGCTTTGGACTGTCGTTGTTTCAGATTCTCGATCTTGAAGAGAAGTCCCAAATCCTGACCATCAACGTCTGGAGCAAATATGTAGGCTGCCTTGTGGATGTAACTATTATCTTTTATTCTGAACCCTCCTTCGAATAGGGGGGGACTGCACCGGCTGCCTAGGTTTGTGTGAATGGGCCACGTTCCCATGGCCACTTTCATAAAAGCACGTTTGTCCGGGACATGAACTCGCGCCTGATGAGTTCGAGTCCCGAGTCACAGGCGAGCCCGAGAACGCGGTTTCCTCTCAAACTGTCC